CAGACTCCCCCTTGCTAACGATTCCCAATTAATGTTCTGCCCGGGGAGAGGAGGAGGTGTGTTTGCCTCATAACCCCCGGCATTGGCTGCTATTCCAGCACTAGCCGCACCTCCCTGGTACCGGGGTTACCCAGCAGCATCCATGCCCTGGGTTCTCCAGCCCCCTGCTTTTGGCCTTAGAGGCCCCCTGGCCGGGGTGCTGCCGCTGGGAGGGAAGGGATTTTCCCGTCTCGGCTGCAGCTTGGCGCTGACTCCCCCACACTCGCTCTTGCAGAAGGAATTCCTCAGGTTTATTACTTTGGGCCCTGTGGGAAGTACAACGCCATGGTGCTGGAGCTGCTGGGACCCAGCCTGGAAGACCTGTTTGACCTGTGCGATCGGACCTTCACGCTCAAAACCGTCCTGATGATAGCGATACAGTTGGTAAGCGCCGCGGCCCCCGGGCTCAGCCTGTGCGTGCAAGCAGCTGGGAAGTATGGCACGCCCTGCCATCGAATCCCCAGTGACCAGCCCCCCCAATCCCAAAGGAGATGCCCCAGGGGCCCAGCCAGAACATACTGTGGGGGGTGGGCGGTGAAGAGGAAGAAGGAGGCAAAAGCACCCAGGGTTTAACTCTCTTATTGGGGGTGCAGTCAGGGTTTGGCAGGCAGCTTCCTGGCAGGAGATCAGCAGGCTGCATGTTCCGCACCAAACCGAACGTCCCTGGAGGGAGGGGAGTGACTGGGGGGACCCAGGGGGATCCGAGAGCAGGAAGGAAGTCTTAGGAGACGTGTGGGCTGACGGGAAACTCCTGCTGGGGAGCCCCATCTCAGGAAGTCTTCCCTCATTGGATGGCTGTGTTGAATTGGAGACAGTGTAGCCTAGTGGGTAGATCACTGCACCATGACTCAGGAGGCCTGTTTTATTCCTGGCTCCGCCGCTGGCCTGTTGGGTGTCCGTGGGCAAGTCATGTCTCTCTGTGCCTCAGTTTCCCCATCTGCAAACCAGGGATAGTGGTGCTTTATTTTTCTGTGAACCGGAGGTAGCTTCATGTTGCTCAAAACTCCCAGGTGTTGGCAGGAGTCCGCAGCAAATCCAGGCTCAGAACGCATGTGGCTGACAGACCCTGTCTGGCCTGCCCTTTGTCGGGAGGGTGCTACCGCCCAGAGAGACGACACCTCCCAGCCTGCACTGCTCCATGGAGACAGCCTCCCGCTCAGGATGGAGCATGGCGTGCTGGGAACCATAGTCCTGGCAGGCTGCAGCTGGTTCTGGTTTAGGAGCACTAGGTGCGGCATGTGGCCTTCTGGTGACCTACCAGCTTGGCCCTGGGATCGCTGGAGGTTTTTCCTGGGATCTGTAAAGCTCCACCTCTAAAAACAATCCCCTGCTTGGGCTTTAAAATGTAATAAGGCCAAGCTCTTGTGTAGCACCTTTCCTGGCTAGGTCCCAAAGCGCTTCACAGTGTGTAGGTGTTTATCCTCCTGGCCCTGGCAGGGCAGGGCTGTTAGGTGGAGAACCGAGGCACACAGACGCTCATCCAAGGTCACTTGGGAAGGCTGTGGAAGAGCAGGGAATTGGATTCCAGGCCCCACAGGTTTAGGCTAGTGCCCTGACTGTCCTTCCTCTCCTGGAGCTGGGGGGGGGGGGGGGGATCCAACGGGCCTGGCTCTGAGAGCCAAGCAGAGTGGCTGCTGGCTTTAGTGGAGTTACCTTGATTTGAGATGGGGTGAGAACAGAATGGGGCCCAGGAGTCCGGAGTGAAAGGTTGGACATTGTCCATGCCAGCAGAGCAAGCCCGCCCGCGGCCTCCCGCTGATGCCAGCCCCTCCCCCCCCAGATCACGCGGATGGAGTACGTTCACACCAAAAGCCTGATCTACAGAGACGTCAAGCCGGAGAACTTCCTGGTGGGGCGGCCGGGCAGCAAGCGTCAGCACACCATCCACATCATTGACTTTGGCCTGGCCAAGGAGTACATTGACCCCGAGACCAAAAAACACATCCCCTACCGAGAGCACAAGAGCCTGACGGGGACGGCGCGATACATGAGCATCAACACACACCTCGGGAAAGGTACCATGCCCGGCCGTCGCTGGCACTGCCCGAGGGAGAGGGAGACGGGGGGTAGATAAGCCAGTGACTCCTGCACTGCCCCAGGCCCGTGTTTCCCTGGCTCTGTGCTGATAGGCAACTGGAGGTGAGGCAGGTCTGTGGGGGGAACCTGTCCTGCTCCACTGGGGTCTCGTCTTGGCCGGCGTCTGCCCCAGGAATGTTCTTGTCCCCCGTATTGCTCTGGGTAAAGGGCACCTGCGAGAGAGATGCCTGCAGCTAGGGGGGCATTGGTTTCTGACAGCGAGGTGTCATGGGCTGGGGGTAGCTAGGTCTGCAGCCGAGTGCGCTTGGAGCATGATGCTAGGGAGCACTAGCGCCCGACCACCAGTGAGCTAATGTGCTGCTGGCTGCTGGGCCCTGCCGCAGTGGAGATCAGCACTGCCGTGGGCAGGACAGCGGGTGTCTCTGTGCAAGTCCACATGGCGTGTCAGCCTCCTCAGGGCCAGGGCAGGAGAGCCCATGAGACGCTCAGCCTGCTATCGCTCACTTCATTCACCCTGATGAAACCCAGCCGCTAATGCCATGCACCCCAGTCCGGCTGCCTCTAGCGCCTTTCTCCTGGTCCTGGTGGAGCGAGCTCCCCAGAGCCTGGTCTCATTCTGTACCAGCCCTTGGCCCCCCTGGGAGCCCAGATGCAGTGATACTAAGGGGTTATGTGGTGCTCGAAAGGCCCTTTGTTCAGCTTTGCTTCGTCTGAGCAGCTCAGCAAGTCTTGGCCTCGCTCCCTCTCGTGAGCTGCCCTGGGATTCTTGCACTGATGGAGCTGCCATAGGGTGAGAAGGGGTGGTGGTGCTGGGGGCAGGGTGCGGGACAGCTCTGCCCTCTGAGGAATCTGCACGTGGCACTTACCGTTTCTGTCTCCTGCCCAGAGCAAAGCCGCAGGGATGACCTGGAAGCGCTAGGGCACATGTTCATGTACTTCCTGCGGGGCAGCCTCCCTTGGCAAGGGCTCAAGGTAAGTGCCAGCCGGCTGCCGTCCTCGCTGTGTGCTGGGGTGCTGAGAGAGCACAGGGCCTGAGTGTGTGTCTCACGCGGCTGGCAGGGGGGCGCGGAGCAGCCGCAGAGACCAGGCTGGGCAGGATCCCCCCCCTGAGCTTGCGGGCAGAGTAAAGTTAACATGGGCGCTGACAGCATCAACACACGCTCGTGTGAGTGCTCTGGTTCGAGCCCAGGTGCCTGGCTGGCTGGCTGGGCACTGTAGGATGGACTTAAATGAGGAAAATGTGAGTAATTGTCAATTCTTCTTCGAGTGATTGTTCACGTCCATTCCAATTCGGTGCGCGCGCGCTGCGTGCACACAACGTCGGAAACTTTTCCCTTAGCAGCTTCCGTCGGGATGGCAGGGGAGCCCCCTGGAGTGGCGCCCTTACGGCGGTGTATATATTACCCTGCCGGCCCGACTCCCCTCGGTTCCTTCTTACCGTCCGTGGCGGCGCTGGAACGTTTGTTCTCTCTCTCTCTCTCTCGCTTGCGAGTGATCCCTTAGCCTTCAAGTCTTCTAGTTAGTTGTTCTTAGATGGTATTTAGCTAACCGATAACTATTGTATTCAGGTGTCTGGAAGCTAGTTCCAGCATCAGCCTTGGGCTACCGGGGCATGCCGCAAACCAAGGGTTTCAAAGCTTGCGGCAAGTTTGTGCCTAACAGCGACCCCCACGACTCCTGTCTCCAGAGTCTGGGAGAGTCCCATCAGGCCGAGCGTTGCAAAATCTGCAAGGCCTTCAAGCCGTGCACTAAGAAAGAAAGAGATTTTCGCCTTAAGCAGTTGCTCGTGGAGGCCGTGTTACAACCACCGGCCCCTGACCGACCGGCCCCGGCTTCTTCGGTGCAAAGTGCCCCGGCATCCGTGCGCGACCCGGCACTGCTCAGGCACTGTAAATCGCCGGCACCAAGACGGGACGACCAACCTCGGCGCCAATCGACCTCTCCGGCACCGACTAAGCATCACAAGAAAGGGGAAAGAGGGCGCTCCCCCCCAAAGAGCTACTAAGCCGCTCAAAGAAGCTCCCGGCACGCAAAGACAGATTGCGGGCCCAAGCCAAGAACTGGCACCATCGACTTCGGCGCCACAGTACCCAGCGGATTCAGTGCCGACGAATGTCTGGAGGAGGGTCCTCGAACACCCCTCCACGCCCGACACTTTTGAGGCAGTGAAAGACCTCATTGAGTTGTCAGCGCCAAACCCCCTCCCGTGCAGGGAGAAGCCTCTGGCACCACCCAAAAGGGTGCTGTCCAGAGGGAAGCCGGCAATGGTGTCACTTGAGGTCACTGTCTTGACACCGCTCCCGTTCGAGCTCGGCGTCCTGCTATTCCCCAGCACCCACAACCCAGTGTGAGGTTATGGCACCGGAGGCGAACCTGCCAGCAGTGCCCACGGTGACTGCACGCCGGTCCATGACACCATCGGTCGCCCGGCACTGGCGTACGGCACCGACAACCTCACCGGCACCGAGTGCAAGACACCGGTTCCCATCCCGAGACTCCTGGTACCGTTCGCGGTCCTGGCCAGCCAGGTACCGCTCCCCAGCACCCTGCGGCCACTCAATGTTCGGCACCGCCCTGGTCCTCTCTGTCGGCATCCTCCGGCTCCGAGGCCAACTCCGGTCACTCTAGCTACAGCAGACATCGAACCATAGGAGCAGAGAATCCCAGCCAGCATTGAAACCACAGTGACCTCCTCCGGGTCAGTGGTCCTTCTGGACCCCATGGGCCTACCACCAGCAACAGGGCATCTCCTCCAGAGTCTCTGGGTCCGGGCAATCTATGCGACGCCATTCCAGGTCTCCACGCAGACACGCATCAAGGACAAAGGAGGCCACTCTCTCTCTAGGCCCCCCCGGACCTTCAAGAGCAACCTGTGCTCTCAGGCCCAATACCCGAGGCGGTGCCGAGCACTGCGACACCCCGAGAGGTGTCAGCCCCACAGGGCCCTGAAGCGACCCAGGCATTTGGGGACACACAGGAGGCTCTAGATGAGGGCAACCTCACTTCCTCCTCTTCCTTAGACGAGGCGGTGGTGGGAACATCAGTCTCAGGACTGCCACCGATCGATCACAGGGCTCACCAGGAGCTACTCCGCAGGATCGCCCTCAATATGGGCGGAAGAAACAGTTGAGTAGGAGGAACCGATGGTGGATATCCTGACGCCCGAGGGTCCCTCCAGAGTCGCACGCCCTCTCATAAAGACCATACAGACAAATTTCAACACTATATGGCAGACCCCGGACTCCATCATGCCAACGGCCAGGTGGGTAGAACGGAAATACTTCGCTCCTTCCAAGGGCCCTGAGTTCCTGTTCTGCCATCCGACTCCTTTCCCTAGTCGTTTCAGCAGTCGACGAGAAGGAATGATAGGGCCAACAAGCCTCGGCCCCAAAGGCCAAGGAGGCCAAGCATTTGGACCTCATCGGTAGGAAGGTCTGCTCCTCGGGAGGTCTCCAGCTACACATAGCCAACCAGCAGGCAATCCTTAATAGACATAACTTCAACTCTTGGATGGCCATGTCCAAGTTGAAGGATCGCCTCCCCAGGACTCTCACTCGGAGTTTGCGGCGTTAATCGAGGAAGGAAAGGCGGTGGCTAAGACTTCGCTACAAGCCTCCCTCGATTCAGCTGAGTCTGCAGCCAGAACCATTGCCTCTGGGATAGTCATGCGACGCTCAATGTGGCTCCAGCCATCGGTCCTCCCTCCAGAGGTCCAGAATACCCTCCAAGAACTTCCCTTTGAGGGCTCGGGCCTTTTCTCCGAGCAAACAGACTCCAGGCCGCATGGCCTTAAGGATTCTAGGGCCACCCTGAAGTCGCTAGGGATGCATATGCCAGCAACCCAGAGAAAGCCCTTCAGGCCTCAGCCTCCACAGCAGAGGCAGTATCAACCCCGACCCAGGCAGGAGCCGTATCGCAGGCGGGGCAGAAATAACGGGCATAGACAGAACAATGTGCCTAACCAAGGCCAGAATAAACCCCAGCCTGGAAACAAGCAAGGGTTTTGAAGGCACGACCATGGACAGTGTACCAACCCAGTTCCTGGATCCATCCCCCACGGTTTTTAAATCGGCTATCCCACTTATACCATTCATGGTCCCATAGAACATTGGACCGCTGGGTCCTACTCATGGTACAGGTGGGATACTCTCTCCAGTTCTCCTCCTTCCCTCCCTCCCACCCACCTTCCCGTCCCTCTTCAGGGACCCCTCTCACGGGCAACTCCTCATGCAGGAGGTTCGTTCGCTCCTCAAGATAGGTGCGGTGGAGGAGGTTCCACAGGAGCTAAGGGGAAAGGGGTTTTACTCCTGTTACTTTCTAATCCCCAAGGCAAAGTGGGGTCTTCGACCCATTTTAGACTTTCGCGGAATCAACACATTTATGGTCAAACTCCGGGTCCGCATGGTCTCCCTAAGCACTATCATTCCATCTTTGGATCCGGGGGATTGGTACGCTGCCCTCAACATGAAAGATGCGTACTTCCATATTGCCATTCATCTGGCGCACCGATGCTTCCTCCGGTTTGTCGTAAACCAATATCACTCCCAGTTCACGGTTCTCCCGGTCGGCCTGTCCACAGCCCCCCGAGTGTTCACAAAATGCGTGGTGGCAGCCTTCCTGCGGAAAAGGCAAGTCCGAGTGTACCCCTACCTCGATGACTGGCTACTCACACGTCGTTCCACGGACGAGGTCCAGTCCCAAGTGACTGGGGCTGCTCCTCAATGTACCCAAATCTTCTCTCTTATCTACCCAAAGGATAGAGTTCATAGGGGCAGTCCTGGACTCGGTACTGGCTAAAGCGAGCCTTCCAGAGCCCAGGTTCCAAGCCATAGAGCAGATTGTCAAATCATTGCTTCAGTATCCCACCACGACAGTCAGGTGTTGCCTGCAGCTAATAGGGCATATGGCAGCATGCAGTACATGGTCAAGCATGCCCGACTGAGACTCAGACCCATGCAAGCGTGGCTCGCACTCTCTTACCGTCTGTACAGAGACCCCCTTGGATCTTGTGGTGATGGTCCCTGGACAGGATCTAGAATCCCTGTGCTGGTGGCTGAACCGACCAGTGATCTGTGCAGGGGTCCCCTTCGCCAAGCCCCAACCTTCTCTGACGTTAGTAACAGACGCGTCAGATCTGGGCTGGGGCTCACACTTAGGGAATCTGAGGACACAAGGCTTGTGGTTGAGGGACGAGATACCTCTCCATATCAACCTGAAGGAGCTCAGAGCAGTTCGTCTGGCCTGCCAAACCTTTCACGCCACTTTGCAAGGTCACAGTGTGACAGTCCTGACAGACAACAACACCGCCATGTGCTATGTAAACAAACAAGGCGGAGCCCGCTCCTCGCCTCTCTGCCGCGAGGCTCTTCTTCTCTGGGACTTCTGTATAGCCCGATCCATTCAGCTCGAAGCATCCTACCTTCCAGGAGTACGGAACGAGCTGGCGGATCGCCTCAGCAGGTCATACCACATGCACGAGTGGTCAATCAGATCGGCCATCATACAGTCGGTCTTCCAAAAGTGGGGTTATCCCCACGTAGACCTCTTCGCCACCAAGAGCAACAGACAGTGCCCTCAGTTCTGCTCATTCCAAAACCACAGTCTGGGCGCCATTGCCGATGCATTCTTAATACCATGGGGCGAGGGTCTGAAGTATGCCTTCCCTCCTATCCCGCTTGTCCACCGGGTCCTCCTCAAAATTCGCAGAGAGAAGGCGACGGTAATCATGATCGCCCCGTCTTGCCCCCGACAGCATTGGTACTTAACCCTCCTAGAGCTGTCCATAGATGCCCCGATTGCCCTGCCCCTCTACCCGGATCTGATTACGCAGGACCACGGGCGCCTCCTTCCCCCGAACCTGCAATCTCTACATCTCATGGCGTGGAAACTCCATGGCTAAATCCCATGGAGAGCCAGTGCTCTGTCGGTGAGACAAATTCTCCTCGGCATTAGGAAACTTTCCACTAGGACTACCTACCTGGCAAAATGGAAAAGGTTTTCCTGTTGGTGTGAACCCAAGCGCCTTCAACCGTTCCAGGTTCCTATCCCAGTTATTTTAGACTACCTCCTACACCTTAAGCATCAGGGGCTATCCCTTTCCTCCATCAGAGTACACCTGGCAGCCATTTCAGCTTTCCATCCAGGGGAGTCTGGGTGCTTGGTGTTTTCTAATCCCATCATGGGGCAATTCCTCAAAGGGCTGGAGAGTGTGTTCCTGTATTCTCACCCGCCAGTCCCAACCTGGAACCTGAACCTGGTCCTCTCCAAACTCATGAGCCCACCATTTGAGCCCCTGGCCACCTGTTCCCTCCTCTACCTTTCTTGGAAGGTGGCGTTCCTGGTAGCCATTACATCTGCAAGGAGGGTGTCCAAGCTGAGAGCCTTCACCTCCGAACCACCTTACACGGTGTTTCATAAGGACAAGGTGCAGCTTAGACCACACCCTAAATTTCTCCCCAAGGTGGTCTCCCAATTCCACATGGGTCAGGACATTTGCTTACCAGTGTTCTTTCCAAAACCCCACACGAGTCCGAGACACCACAGCCTACACACGCTGGATGTCCGGAGAGCCTTGGCGTTCTACATAGAGTGCGTGAAACCTTTCCGCAAGTCGACCCAAGTGTTCGTCACCATAGCTGACAGAATGAAGGGCCTTCCTGTTTCTGCGCAACATATATCGTCCTGGATCACAGACTGCATTCGCACGTGCTATGAGCGAAGGTCCCAGCCCCAGTGATTACGGCCCATTCAGCCCAGAGCTCAGGCATCTTCGACAGCCTTTCTGACTCCGGTCCCTATCCAGGAGATCTGTAAAGCAGCCACCTGGTCTTCAGTGCACATGTTTACAGCCCACTATGCTGTTAACCAACAGGCCAGAGATGATGCGCTGGTCGGCAGAGCTGTTCTTCAATCAGTCGTTCCATGACTCCTACCCTCCTCCAATGGTCAGCTTGGAAGTCACCTCATTGGAATGTACGTGAACAATCACTCGAAGAAGAAAAGATAGTTACTTACCTCTTGTAACTGTTGTTCTTCGAGATGTGGTGTTCGCGTCCATTACAATACCCACCCACCCCCTTCCCCTCTGTCGGAGTCAACAGCAAGAAGGAACCAAAGGGGGGTCGGGCCGGCAGGGTAATCTACACACTGCCATGAGGGCGCCACTCCAGGGGGCTCCCCTGCCGTCCCGACGGGAGCTGCTAAGGGAAAAGTTTCCAACGTCCGTGCACACGGCGCGCGCACACCTAATTGGAATGGACATGAACAACCCATCTCGAAGAACAACAGTTACGAGAGGTAAGTAACCGTCTTTTTCTCCTACCCTCAGAAATGGGCCCAGACCAAAAAAAAGCTCTTGATAGAACTGTCCGGAGAGGGGCCATCTACACCTCTCCCCCCCGGTGGGCTGCCCTCACTGACAGCTGGGCCCTGATCCTGCCAACGCTTTCGCACATGAGCGATGCCAGTGGAGCCAGCGGGCTCCTCACGCGGGTGTTTGCAGGATCGGTACCCGAGGGTTTCCCAGACTCGGTCCATCCGTCAGTCACCGAGCAGCTTAGTGCTGAGTTCACTCATCCGGTACCAGCCCCAGCTCCCAGGCTCCTTCAATCTGCAATAAATCATCATTCGTATTTTAAATTTCCTTCCGTGTGGAAATTCCTGCTGGAGGCGTGGAGGGCTCCTGGGAGGGAACATGGCGTGGGGGAGGCTCCGATGTGCTTGGCATTGGCCAGCGTCCTGACGAAGTCCAAGCCCTTAGGGCAGCTCCTCTGCCAGGGGCGGGACGGAGGCTGAGACATGCTGGCCGAGGGGTGGGGGTTTCCTTCACTGTCACTGTTTCTCTGTGGCCTTGGACCAGCCCCTTGCTCTCTCTGTCCCCACTTTCCCCGGGTGCCAGGCGGCTGCTGTAGTATTGTCTTGCCCGCAGCGGGGAGCGGAGGTTGTGCTGTGCCAATAGCTCCCGGAGAGGCGGCTGTATCGCAGCGCGGGTTGTTATGGGCGTTTAGTTAACATTTCTCTGACGAATCCAGCCCTGGCCACTGTCAGACTGTTTGGAAACCAAACCCACCTGGTAGCCCAAGAGGCCCTGGTAACAAGCCAATTGTCGCTGTTCCCCTCCTCACTCTCACACCTATGCTGTGTCCCTGGCTGTGCCCAGTGAGGTCTGCACAGCTGTGCCCCTGGGAGCTCGGCTGTGTCAGTCCCTGATTGCCGCCAGCCAGGCTTTCCCTCCTCGTGCCATACGGTAGTCAGGAGAGTGGAATGTGCACCCTCCCTCTGCTGGTCTCCCTGCCGCTCTGGGCATGGCTATCCTGCTGCCCAGTCTCCCTACTCCTCCTGAAACCCGCGATGGCCCAGCGGGATAGCTGGGATGGTACTAGAGTTGCCAGGATGGGGGGAGGGGGCGGGAAGCCCAAGGTCAGCTCCTAAACCCTGGCTTAGGGCTTTGGCCAGTGTGATCCTGCCAGGCCATCCGGGCGTGCGTGGCGCTTGTCCACGGTGCCCTGCCGAGCTCTCACCCGTGCTCCCCGTTCCAGGCTGACACGCTGAAGGAGCGGTATCAGAAGATCGGAGACACCAAAAGAGCCACCCCCGTCGAAGTCCTGTGTGAAAACTTCCCAGGTAAGGGCGCTGCTCGAGTCGGGAGAGCCGGGAGGGGCCCGCGCTCGCGCCCGCATTCAATAGACCTGACAGCCAGAATCTGGAAGGGGAAACTGAGGCACAGAGGGGGACATGACTTGCCCAAGGACACCCAGCAGGTCAGTGGCAGAGCTGGGATTAGCACCCAGGTCTCCTGAGTCCCAGTCTGGTGCACTGCCACCTATGGGTTACTGCACAGTTCGGTCCACTGCAGCCTCGCCCCCTCCTGCCCCACCTCCTATAGCTGGGCTTGCTGGACTTCTCCCCCAGCCTCTGTCTGCAGTGGACTGGGGGGCTGGAGAGGGGTAGGATCTCTCCCCATGGCTGTTCCCTACAGCTGTCTCCATTTGGTCTGAGACCCTCCAGCCTCTGTGGGTATTTCCCTGCTGCCCCCGTTCCTCTCGCTGTGGTGCCTCCCCCGGGCCGGGTGCTCCCTGGCCACGGCTCGCACGCCGCACTGAGTTCGCTGTGCCTCCGCAGAGGAGATGGCGACCTACCTGCGCTACGTGCGGCGGCTGGATTTCTTCGAGAAGCCGGATTACGACTACCTGCGCAAGCTCTTCACAGACCTGTTCGACCGGAGTGGCTACGTCTTCGACTACGAGTACGACTGGGCCGGGAAGCCGCTAGTAAGTGCCGCTGAACGGAGTGGGGAGCGCCCCTGTGGGGAGGGGCTGGATGGCTGCCTCTGGCTCGAAGTACACGGGAGCAGCAGGCAGAGCTTGGCTGTGTGAGATTACAGCTGCTCCCCCCATCCTCCCGTTAGTCCCTTTCCATGGCTCAATGCCTTGTCTGCCCCCCACCCAGAACACACACGTCGTCTCAGCCACTCGGACCCCAGGCTTCATTTTCATTCTAGTGGGACCGGCCCAAGCCAGCCCCATCCCAGCCCCCAGGAGTGAGATCTCTCCCCTCCTAACATGAGCCACAATCCCGCCCTCCCCCAGCTCCCGGGTCCTCTCCCCACCGGATGGTAGTGAAAGCCCAAGGCGCACACGGCCTGCACGGAGATTACTGGGCCTTTCTTGATGATTTTCCTCCTGGTGTCTTGATCGCAGCCAACTCCAATCGGCACAATCCACAGCGACGTCCAGGTGCAGCCTCCGAACAGAGACAAAGCACAGCCACACACCAAACACCAGGTGAGCAGCCTGCCTGCCCCCAGCCACGCTGGCTGGGCCAGGTCCCAGCGACAGAGCAGCTTGGCCATGGTGGGGCGGAGCGAACCCGTCCGAGCGCAGGCAGAACCAACCGATTCATAACTGAAGCTGTGGGGAGGAGGGGTCCAGACACCATTAGCCATTCCCGTGGGGCCTGGGAGGCTGAGTGCAGGCAGGCATCTCCTCTGGCCGATCGGCTGGCCAGTCCCTTTCTCCGTAGCCAGAAGGAAGGTGGCTGGTGTGGAGGTGCGGGGGAAATGGAAAGCCCTGAGGAGGGATGTGGCGCATTCCTCAGAGAGGTGGAGCATAGGCCCATGGGAAGTGCAAGTCTGTAGGGTCTCTTGCCTCTGCACCCCTGTTCCAGCAGCGATTGCAGGGCGGGACCATTGAGGCTGGGTGGGAAAGGCTGGGCCAGTGCTCTCGGCGCTGGGTTGGCTCATGGGAGGCCTGGATGCTTTGGGAGGACGGGGGGTTGAAGGCCCCAGTGCAGTTGGCACATGGCTGACCTGTTGTCAAGGCACCATGGGACTTGGACGGCAGGGTGGGACCATGTGCGTCATGGAGTCCGGGCTGGGGATCAGTCAGGACTTTGTCCTTCTTGGGCTCAGCACTGACTGTAGAACCCAGCCCATGGGTGAGACCGGCTCACTGGTGACGGGCCTTCAGCTGTGGCTTCCAGGACAGGCTCCCATGACATCTCTGCCCCGGCACATGTCCAGGCCTTGGGGCGATGGTGGAAAGGCCCTGCTGGTGAGTCCAGAGGCCCTGAGCTGGTCCTAGAACCCCGTGCGGTGGGCGAAGGGAATGGGCTGTGGCGGGATTGCTGGTGCTGCCTGCCACGCTGGAATTGGCTGGGCAGCCTGATTCTGTCGCCCCACCTGGGGGACCATGAAGGGGACCGTGGGAGTGCTCAGCTGAGTTAAACCAGCCCTTCTGACGGGAGCTGGGCCAGCCTGCTGATTTGGGTCTCTCCGTACTGCCCTGTGGGGAGAGCTGCAGGTGATGCGATCTCCGCAGTCGCCACTATGTGGAGGAGACTCAGCCTCTGTCTCTTGCTCGGGGGTGGGGGGGGGGCATAGAGACATGGGTGAAGACAGCTCAGGTCTGGGAGGCACTGCCGGGCTGAGCTGGAATCCGTTCGGTGGAGCACAACTTTGTTGCCGGCAGGAGAACAGCACGTGGCAGCCTCGCCCTAGGGACCAGGAAGGCACTTTGCCGAGGCGGCTCTTCCCAGGGGCCAGTGAGGAATGGCCAGGTGGAGAGGGTGCCAGTGCTGGCTCTGCGGGGCGGGGGGAGGGAGAACTTTGCCTGGCTTAGCTTCTAGGAAAGCCGGGCTGAGTTCCAGGTAACGGGTCTCCTGCTGTGATGCTCTCAGAAGATGGGACAGCCAAGGAAACCCATGGAGTGGGAAGGACATTAGAGTGACCGGGCCGAGCTCCGAATAATCGGCGCTCTCTTGTGACTTGTTCTCTTGCCCATGAGTGCCCTGACAAAGGGGGGTTGATTCCAGGCGATGCTGCACGATCAGGACTTACTTGGGGACGAGCAGTTTTTAAACTATGTAGGGACCAGCGGGTTTCACACCCAGCCTTTGTCAAGGCTCAGCCTCCTCCGCCAGCAGCTGGAGAGAACTGGGTTCCCTTTGCCTTAACTTACCAAAGAAATCCTCTTGAAGCCTGGTGCTCAGGAGCAGGGGTGGGACCTCCGGTCACCACGACCTTGGCCAAATGGAGCTGGGTTCGGCTTTTGGACCTGGTGCAGACATCAGAACCAGCTGGGTGCGGGCAGCACAGGCCGACCCAGCAGTCCCACTGCTTTTATGGAGAGGGAAAATTCTCCAGGACTCCTGACTCGTCCCCTAGTCTCAGTTATCCATGGGACCTTCTCTCTCTCTCTCTCTCTGACGGGCCGTCAGCAGCGGTGGGTGGTAACATCCCCAGTGGAAGGTTATCCGCAGTGCGGTAGCTATACCAGGCTCTTCACAGAACAAGAGGCCCAGTGCGATCCCAGAGGATCTGATACACAGGAGGTGCCAGTTCTCCGCTGTATCTCGATTCCTAGTGATCACCCAGTTTACTCCAAGCCCTGATCTTTCCTGCATCCTCTGGCTTTAAACACTGCAGGGATGGGAAGATAGACCCGTAGCTTTAATTTCTGTCAACCTTCATTCTGCAAAATCACATATCCGGCAGCATCGGTTCCCCCACCTCCGTTTAAAACACGGCTTGTCCCCTCCAAGAGGCACTGCTCCGCATGGCGAAACCGCTTCCGTCGCCAGCATTTTCCAAAAGCCAGCAGCATGTCTCAGCATCGGCCAAAGCAGAGGGCAGCAGACCAAATGCCTGATCTGCCTGGACTAGTGTGCCAGAGACCCCGCGAGATCTTTGTGTTACGGGGGTGGGGGTGTACGTGCGCACATGTGCACAAGCGAAGGGGTGAGTAAAGTGTGAACGCAGTCAGCAGACCCGCAGCCAGTCAAATGGCTCTGAGTCCCAGCCCATTCCAGTCTGCTGGGATTTCACTAGGGACCACTCTGGTTAATTTGCCTTAACACACTAGTGCTGCTCTGTTTATATTTTTGCTTTTGCATGTCTTATTTTCTTGACTCCTCTCCCCCACCGTTCCCACCCCCTCGTCTCCATCCTTCTTCTTCTTCTGTTTTGTTTCCTGTCCTGCCGGTCACTAGCAGTCGCCCGAGGGGAACGAGTTGGGTGATCCTCAGGCTAGCCAGCAGCCTGCCGAGGAACCTCTAGGAACTCACCTAGCGACCAGCAGGCTTGGGGGTTCTGTGCAGGTACATGCAGTGTGCTGCGTGGGAGTGGAGGGGGCATTTCCAAAGGGGGATGGGCCACCGGGGAAGGGGCCTGTCCCACAAAACTCCGGCTGCAGCAGCATCCCTTGGGCGCAATTTGTGCTTATCCCCAGGATCGGGGCTTTGCAGCCTTTTGTTTCTGTCCGTGGACGTGGAATCCCTGGCTTTGTCCCGTAAGCCCGTCCCCTGGTTCTCCTTCCCTTTCTGGTGCTCAGGTACAACCCTCCGCTCCTCCATATCCCCTCTTCCACTTCCAGCATCAGTCGAGCTTGAAACCATGTCAGCTCTCAGATCTGCAGGCCATGCTTAATCCTGCCCCGTAGTCTTCCCGCTCTCTGTGACCCCAGCCCCTTGCCGACTGTCCTGGAGGTGTGTTGAAGCACATCTCCACTAGGGTCAAGAATCCCCCTACCACAAACTGGGGCAACTCTGCTTTGTGTGTCTCATGGTGACAGGGAGAAATCCACAGGCTTAGCTGGGCCCTGGACTGTGTGCTGGGTCTCTGTGGATTTCACTCTCGTTCCATGTAACTCTTCCCACAAACATCCTAGTTCCTCACTAGTCCCTGGGCTTGTCTGTCTGTCCTCACTTGATTTGTTCCCCCGCCACGGGGCTCCTGGGGCAAAGCTCACCCAACTCTCCCGAGTCCTCTGTGTTCTCCCTGGCTCCTGCTCCCACCACCGGCCTTCGGGAGTGGGCAAGGGACACCCAGACCATCCCCCGCCGTTCTCGCCGCACAGCTCTGCTTCCTGTGCTCTCTAGTCTCGGGGCTTGTCTTCACTGCAGTTAACTCGAGTTATAGCTCCAGTGTGGGGGTGCTTTTAACGCCAGTGGGCTGGCCCCCGGGGGGGGGTGCAGGCTGCCACTCGAGCTGGTGCAACGTGGCGGCTGGGGGCACCACCCCATGGCTGCGGTGACAGTCGCTTTGTGCCGCTCTCCCTCCAGCAATGCTGACCCGACCGTACTGCGCTGCAGTAAAGGCACAGCCTGTGTCACTGCGGCTGGGCGTGAGCTTGCGTGGTGTCGCTTCCCCCACTGCTGGGCGAGGCTGGTTCGGCCTTCCCAGGGAAGGGGTGGGGACAGCCAGAGTTCAAGTACTAGGCCTGGACATCAGCCAGGTGGCCTGGCCTTGCCTGGCGGGCGGTGTGAAGAGGTGGTGAGGGGATCAGAGTTGCTCAGCTGCTGCAGTGCTGGCCTGGCCCCTCCTGTTGCCGTCCCCCAGGAACACTGGCGGCGAAATCGGAAGCGATCCCTATCCAGGGATGTTGGCTCCATTGGAGATTGTAGCAAGAACAGCAGCTGCTGGTTTCATTTCTGTAGCGGTGTGGTCACAGGACCTGCTGGCGTGCGAGGGGTTTGGCCCTGGTGTGTTGCAGCCATTGGTGGCGCTACTCTGTTCCATCTGCTCTGGCGTTCGCCGGCACTGAGGATAGTAACGAACGGCGCGTGAGCAAAGGATACAGAGCTAGGGAGTCAGTCCACAGCACGTGGGTCCAAGGCGGGACAACATGTCTGGGCCAGTGGAAGTTAGTGGGAATCCAGGGCATGTGAATAGCTAAAACCTCAGGGCAGCCCCAGGGGCTTTGCATTCCCCTGCTTGTTTTTACTGCTAAGTAACAAAACAGGTGCTGGAAGCAGAACAGACCCCCCCACCCCCCACCTTTGTGCACTGCTGCTCCACTGGCCTAGTCGTTCTCTGGCATGCGAATGGCCATGGAGCGAAGCGCTGCCCGGCTCGCTGGCTTGCCATTGGCATGCGGTTTCTGAGGCTCGCAGAGTTTTGATCTGATCGCACAGGAAGAGCCGGGTTTGAAAACTTGCTACAGAAATGAAATCTGGGCCCTTTCCAGGCATGTTGTGTGGCAGGCCCTGCCGAATAGCCTTCTGGAAAACCCTTCCTCTGCTGCGAGGAGACAGGAGGGCGTTACTCTCCGCAAGCAATGCGAGCTTGCTCAATGGCTGGGAGGCTCCAGCTAGTCTAGCGCCTATGGCACTTGTTGCCAACTTGCCCCGGGCCAGGTATGAGTCAGCAATGCTGCCACCCCAGGCAAAGCAGTCCCGGGTACTGGCATTTCCCTCCCCCGACCGCTGGTACCTGTAGGTCGCCTCCCAGGCCAGGTACTCGGAAGGAAACTTGGCTCTCTTACATTGTGGCAGTTTCTCTAAGGGGCTGCTGCTTCGACCTGCCCCCTGCGCTATAGAACGCGCCCTCTGGGGAAGGCAGGGTCGGGCACTGTCGGTGTGTACCTGTTTCCCTACTCTGGGCAGGGATTCAGTGTCCAATGGAACAGGGCCAATGAACAGCCTCTGTATTGCTTGAACACATCCAGTCTCTGACTGTCCAACCTTTCCTCCCAGGTAATGAGTTCCACCAACGGAGAACTGAACACGGACGACCCAACCGCGGGACATTCGAATGCCCCGATCACGGCACCTGCCGAGGTGGAGGTAGCGGATGATACAAAGTAAGGACCTGGCTGCGCATTTGGTTTGCTTTATTTGTTTTGGGGGGGATTGGCAGCTGCTGCACTGGCCATGCTGGATGGGTTGTTGGGGTTTATTTGCTGCTGTCTTTGGCTGCAGCGCTTGTATCCTTCTCCCCTGTGTGGAGAATAGAGGGGACGGAGTTCTAATGAATCTACATGGGATTCCGTACCGAGGCTGTTCTCTCTAGCTCACAGCCTGCTCTCCCGAATGTCACCACATGTCTCCCAAGAGCCAGGACTTGTCTATTTTGGATCTGCAGGGATGCTGTACTGAGGGTGCTGGCCAGAGACAGACCCTGGGGTTCATTCTAGTTCCTAGGAATGCAGCCTGTGATGCCACACAGGTTCTCCCCTAAATCCCAGCCTGGACTCTGCAGCCACGGGCGGGATCGTTGGCTCACGCGCTGACCAGCATTGCATCTTCATCTGCCAGAGCGCTTGTCAGTTTCCTAAGGGTGGTGATCTCATTAGTGCCCCCTAACTCCTGTGAAAAATACTGTCCCCACCCCCAGCGTCTTGAGGTCTGGGCTTTTCGTTAACCAGGGAACGAAAGAGAGATGGGACCCAAACCCACTTCTTGCAGGTCTGTGGGGCTTGCCAGATGGGTTCAGACTCATTGTCCTTCTCGTCCAATAGCCCCTCTCTGATAGTGGCCAGCACCAGCTGCTTTGGAGGGAAGCTGTAAGAATCCCCCAGCAGCAGATGTGGGAGAATCTGCCCCCCACACAGGCCCCCTCCTGGTCGCTAATAGAGATCGGCTTAAGCCCCGAGGCAGGAGGTTCAAGAACACCCCCCCCACCCCCCTCCCCAAAACACCCAGCTGTTATCATGAACTGCGATGATTCCAGATATTCATTCCCCCTTGAAATGTCCAATCCCTTCTGGAAGCAGGAGGAACCTGCGGTTGGCCTTCAGGAGGACAAGTGCAGGTCTGGGGGCATGACAGCCTGTCTGCCTTTCTCCGCAGGTGCTGCTGTTTCTTCAAGAGGAGGAAGAGAAAAACCATCCAGCGCCACAAGTGATCTGCCAGGGACATCACGGATCGGTTTGTGCCGCATCGCCTCTGACTCTGGCTATGGGTCTAGATTCCTGATCAGATCTGCAAGGCCTTCCTGCCCTCTGATTTTGATGAGGGTGGGGGAAGAGCCGTCATGACTTCACCGCCCAGCACCACGTGTGTGGATGGGGAGGGGGGGAGGGAAGTTCCCAAACTGCTTTACTTTTCCTCCACCACCACCACATCCACCCGGTGGTCGTTTACTCAAACCAAGTCAGACTTTGCCGACGTTCCCACGCCCGCCTGTCGTGCAGTCCACGGAGAGCATTAAGCTATTTAAAAACGGAAACCAACCAACCAAACCCACGACGTGAATTTCTTTTGATTCTATTAACTAGTTTGAAAACGGGGATCAACTCTACAGACTCGAAAAACGTTGCTGGCGTAGAAGAAGCCGAAGACAATTTCAAGAGCGGTGGGCTATGGAGAATTTTTTTTTCCCTGTCGCTTCTTTATCTCCGAAGTTAATTTAAGTCTCGGTGCAGAGTGCTGAGTTGTCAGTCTTTGACCTTCCTCTTTTTAGTGTTACGAAATTCTGCTTTTCTTTTAAAGATTGTGTTTTCCCTGTGAGCTCCCCCTCCCCCATTTGGTTAAAATTCTTTCCTTGTGGTGGCGAACAGTCGCTATGTTAGCCGAGTCTCTGGTACGGTGACGCGTGGAGGAGGGACTCGTCGACACTTTCGTTTTACGATGCACTTTTGCTAGCAATACAAGCGATGTTTGGTCTTGAAATTAACAGTTTAGTAATTAACTGGGGAAAGCAGGTGGGGGGAGGGGGGGAGCCGAATTTAGGGTCTCAGGAAGGGTTGGGAGCTTATCGGAACCCTGAAGCCACGCCCTTGGCCATTTGAAATGGGCAACCTACCTTGGGGGCACCTGGCCAAGACCAAAGGGAAACTTGATGTTAAAGAGCAAGGTAGAAAAAGGATGTCTTAATGGTCCCTGCAGTGAGCCTTGGGGTGGGGATTGTTTCCTGGCGCCCAGGACAGCCTAGGACGTTTTTATTGAGCACGGGATAGCTGAGTCCTGCTTATTCTCCTGGCATGAGAGTTCAGTGTCTTCGTTTTATGTGAAGTTGCTTAACTGGACTCTTTTTTTAAAAAGACTTTCCTGGTGTCCAGGCCCCCAGCCCCGTGAAACTCCCCGTAGCTGATATTCTGATCAGCAGGGACCTCCCAGGAGGACCAAGGGCCTTCTAAATGAACCAAAACCAAGCCAGTGCAGTAAGGAAGCAGTGTGCATGTTCCCTGGGGGGAGGAATGGTTAAAACTCCTTTGGGTTCTATGTCCCACTTGAAAGGGGCAGTGTGGAGTGAATCAGAGTTGTAGCTTGCTGGGAAATAGCAGTCCTCACTAAGATAGACCCAGCTCGGCCGTTCTGTCTGTCCACTGACTCTCCTTTCTGGAGGATACCGAGGGGGAAGGGCTGGAGGGAACCTTATGAAGGTTGAAACCTGCCTGCTTGCCAGTCCGATCACAGGGCTGGAGCCCTAGGGTTGGCCCACTCGGCTCATCCAACAATCAGAGGCCCATGTGCTTACTCCTTAGCTGATCACATGTGGCAGTTCCTAGTTGTGGATTTTTTTTAAACTATACCCCCCCCACACACGCCCACACACAGACACAACCCTTCTTTAAACAGCCACAAGGGGCACAACAACCAACCTTAATTCAGTGTAAAACGACTGAGAATGTGTGTCTGGTTGTGCGTATTTACCACGACAACACAATTTGACTTGGGGTTGTTGGTTTGTTTTTTTTTTACAGGGTGGGCGGGCGGGGAAGTAGCATGTGGGTTTTTTTTATTTTCCGTGTAATTATGACACTTGTAATGTTTGAGCTGTAGGAGCTGGAAGCTGCTCTGAGGTTGTGCAGGAGGAGGAAGTTTGTGTCTGAGACCATCCAAGCCTTTGTCTGAAATAAACACTGCCATTCTTTGCTGGCGCAAAGGGGGAGCGTGTGGGAGGTCCTCAAACGCCACTTGTGCTAGGTACGTCCTGCTTAACCCTTCTGCAGAGGCCCATGGACTGGGGCCCTGTGCTGATTCACCGGCCAGCCGGGCCAACTCCTCACCTGTAGCCTCCATCCTGTTGCTGCAGCACATGGTCTGCTGGGGGTAGGAAGATCTAGTGCTGCAGGGGAGGTGGCTAGGGCCCACAGGCAGGGGGAGCCTAGCACATGCCTCTCCCATTCCTGCTGGAACACAGCAGCTTTGTCCCTCTTCGAGCCAAATTCCTTCCATTTAAATCAGACCTGAATGGTTAAAAACAGGCTTAAGCTAGTTCAAGTGGCCTCCTCCTTCCCCAGCATCCACCCTAAGCTGGAATGTCGGTGCCCCTTTAAAGATCCTGGGGACTCTGACTCAGACGCTGCCTCATTCTTCTGGTCTGCAGTTTTACTTCAACAGCAGTGCCTCTGTCCTGCTCAAGAGAACCAAGGTGGAGGGGAGGGACAGCTAGGCAAGGAGTGCACAGCCAGCTGCTAGAGAGCGCTTGGTTCTTGACAACTCAATGAATTCCACCAAATCAGGACCTTTGTATGGGATTTAGTTATGTGCAATGTTTGACCTTGTTTCCCAAACAATGCAAATGAAACCGCCTTAAATCTTCACTGGAACTGTACTTCCAGTCCCCGAAGGTGTAAAATAAAAGTATGTATGTGAGTGGGTGCATGTGCGTATTTGGACTGCCGTTTGCCATGTGTCTTTTCAGACAGACCTACCGCAGGCTTACAAGGAAATAAACAAAAGGGAAAGAGGCCAGGGCGTTTGCCCAACTCTGGCTTCGGACTCTCTTCCTGGCCGAGGGAACGGTCGGGCGCTAGGGCTGCCTGAGCTGGAGGGGGCAGCAGGACACTAGGAGACTGACTTACTCACATTAGGGAAAGAGTCTGTACTTGTGTTGCTCCAGAGCAGAAGGGTGGCTGTTCCAGTGCAAATTTAGTTATGGCTTTAAATAAAAGTGTACAGACCTGGTATTTACATTTCTCTGATGCTTCCTGGAAGCCATAGAATTTAGGGGCTTTTTTTAAAAAAAAATAAAAATAAAAAAAATCCAACCCCCCCCCAGTTTCCATCAGGATTTATTGGGGGGTGGTGCTGTGGGAAGGGGATGGCTTGTGGCACCATTAACAACTTGCAACAGCGCTTAACAAACGACCCTGAGCTCTGTTTTTGTGCATCTATCTGCCAGCTGGCGCCAGCCAGGCCCCTGCGTGACAGACAGAGCAGAGAACTTGGAACGTGAAGGGGTGAGTATGAGTTGAGAGCACATCCTGCTAGGAGCCGGGGGGGGGCCTCAAGAGAGTGGGGTGAGCGCCTGGTGCTGAGTTGTCCTTTGACAATAACTCCTTGTTCTCCATGTGAAGCAATGGCAGGGGCTCAGGGGTGGGGGATGAGTGAAAGAGCAGAACAGGAGCTGGCTGCTTGCCTGGAAGATGGAGTCTACAGGATGATAAGGCACCTGGTTCACATGGTCCCTGCTAACCAGGAACAAGGTCATTTTACATCCCTACTGTGTAGGAGCTTTACTATAGCCTAAGGAATACATGCTCTAGCCCAGGGGTCTCAAATGACCACGAGGGCCACATGAGGACTAGTACATTGGCCCGAGGGCTGCATTACTGACACCTCCCCCCTGCTGCCCTCAGCCCCCCCCCCACTCCACCCCTCCCATGAGGCCCCACCCCAACTCTGCCCCCTCCCTGCCCCCAGGGGGTGCAGGAGGGGTGTGGTGGGGTCTCAGGGAAGGGAGTTGGGGTGTGGGGTGCAGGAGGGGTGAGGGGTACAGCAAGGGGTCAGGGTGCAGCAGGGGGATAAGTGGGTTGGGGTGCAAGAGGAGTGCAGGGTGCAGCAGGGGGTTCAGGACAGGGTGCAGGGTATGGCAGGGGGTAGGGGTGCGGCATGGGGCTTGGAAGTGGGTTGGGGTGCAAGGTGCTCAGGGCAGGGGGTTTGGCTGCAGGAGGGGTTTGGGGGGCAGGATCTGGCCTGGCATGTACAGCAGGGTGTTCAGGGCAGGGGTTGGGGTGCAGGGTATGGCAGGGGGTTCAGGGCAGGGTTTCAGGGTGCAGGGTACGGCAGGGGGTTGGGGTGCAGGAGGAGTGCGGCATGGGGCTCAGCAGTAGGGAGGGGTGTGGCAGCGGGCTCAGGGCAGGGGGTTTGGCTGCAGGAGGAGTTTGGGGGCCCATGTGTTTGCAACCCCTGCTCTAGCCCATGCATGAGGTGGGGATATGCTGGCTTTAAGCAAAGGCTAAGGTGTTCCAATCACCAGGGCTGCTGCTCTCACACCTCATTGTAGCAGGAGGAATTCCTTTATTGCCAGTTATGTAACTGCCTTAAATGGAAACAGGCACTAGCAGAGCACCTCACGACCTGTTCACCTGCCTCCAATACCTATCATTGATGGGTAGGTGGAGCATTTGCTATACCTTAATGCTCCAGGCCAGTAGGACCCATCACAACATCAGTGATATGCAGGCTGGGGGTCAGGTCTGCAAGTGGCTCTTTGTGTCACCTGCTGCTGGCTGCAGCACACGATATTAAAACACTGATTTAATTATCAGCTTGCACTCAGTTATTATTTACTTTATATAGATACTCTCACAACAAAGAAGTTATTTCCCCTCATACTGTTTGCTTCATTTAATACTATATATTCACAGGACTGGGGCTCTCTTGGGTAATGATGATTGCTAATTTGGCTCCTGGACCTCTAAGTGGCACTGGTCTAGGGAACAGTTATAGCCCAGCCAGGCTTTGAGTTGCTGCTGGCACAGAGGGCTGCTGTCTTGACTCAAACCAGCGCTGACTGAGTGATAGCTGGGGCAGTGTAGCGGACCTGTGATGGGGTTTGACTGAAGCAGGGTTGAGAAGTCTTGCCAGGCTGTGTGCGCTGGAGGAATGAATGAAGGAGGGAGACAGGAGGTGCTGAGGTCTAAAGCTGCTGCTCTGAATAGGCTTATGAGCTTGGAGAAGTCAGTCTGCCTTTGTCAGCTGCCTCCCAGACCTGGAAGGAAGCGATGGCTGCACCGTGCTTTGAATGGGTAAAGCCCTCCACTAACACGACATGGCACACAATTCTCTTAGACAGACTGCTCCCTACAGGATTGGGGTGTCAGCTGCCTTTTGTTTCTTCAGCTAGGCCTGCCCACCACTGGCTTCTCTTCCGCCCACGCACGAAGTAGGATCCCTGTCCCTTTGGGGGCCTTGTTTCATTTCCTCCCCTCTGGGCTCATGGCAGAGCTGGCAGTAAAACTTGTCTTTAGTCAAACAGCTTCAAGTCTGCCTCTGAGAAAGGAACTGAAGATGTTTTAGCAGCTGCTTCATCATTAAATTCTTAGGGGCAAGGTTAAAGAAACTACCCCCAAAATTACTTTCCATAAAAGAGACTAGGGGAGGTGGTAAGGAAGACTTATTAGGGCAACTCAGTTTTTACTTGTCTGCATATACACACAGATGTATTTCTCAGACCACCACCTCCCTGCATTAACTTCTGTCTTTCCCTGAACACTTTTCTCTACGAGGAAGAATCTCAAGGGGAAGAAAGGAAGATATACTTGTACATTGCTTCAAAGGTCAAACTTTTACAGCAATTTAGAGCACCCAGGGAAGACAAAATTAAGGACCCTGCCGCTATCAGATACCTCAGTCCTCCTCCCACCCTGGTTGAAGACAGGTGCTGTTTTGCCATCTGCTCTCTTCCAATCATGAAACTTTGTATTAAAGACAACCTCAATGTCTTTATTGATTTCCTATTTACAAATCACAACGCTGGCAAAAAGCAGAGTGTGAACACTGAATGAGCATTTGATACATTCATTAATATAGCACTAGAGTCTAGACATTGCCAGCTCTGTTTGAGGTGACATGATACACTAGAAACTTCTCATACTTTTGGAGACGGGCATGTTCCACAATGAATTACATTCATACTATCTACAAAAGCCAGAATTGCCTCAAACCACAGAAAGCTGTAAGAACAAAAATTGCTCAGATGTCATCCAGCGTTTAAGTTTTCTTTTAAAAACATTTTTCAGCAGGACACTCTAAAGCGACCTGCCCGGTGGCTTGAAAGCAAGATTGGAGGGAGGGCATTGACACAGTAGCAGTATTAAAAACAGAAGCCTTAAAAAGGAAAAAGCCACCAGGCAGGTTTACACCTCAACCTCATCTATGTTACAAGATCTTGAGCCTAAATGACTTACGTGTCCTGCTATTTTCATGGTCCAATAATTTCTATTACCACTTATATACAGAAATGC